GGAGGGACAGCACAGGAGAGGAAGGCCCTCTATGAGGTGGATTGATTCAGTGACTGGAATAATTGGGATGGGAGTGTCAGAGGCAGTGCGATTGGCACAGGACAGAGCGGAGTTTAGGACTGTCGCAAGCGACTCGACAGCACATAACAACAACAACATGAATTGATGAATGGAAAACCAATTTACTCTGTAAACTTTCATTCAAATGACAGTGCAGGTTTTTAAAAAAAGGATTATGTGTTGATCTGGATGTTCTATGAACATTAAATGTTTCTTCGACTTAATGTTGTAAAACAGACTTTTTGTAAAACAGATTATTTGTGAATGTTGAATAGTAGAGCTAACAGAGAAGTAACCCCACATTCAACCAGTATTGATTAAACTCCTCCCTGCCAGCAAATCAGAACTGACTCCTAAGTGACCCTCCAGTGAGTCTTTGGAGAGTAAATCTCCTGGGATGAGATTGTCTATCTTTCTCCTGTGGAAGAGGTACAGCTTCTGGGTTAGTAGTGCAATTCCCTGCTGATTCCCACCAGAACTCTCTGACAGTTGATTGGATGTGCGAAAATGGGAACTAGAATTTGCCCCAAAGAAACACAGGGAACTGAACTATTTGAATGCGGGAGCCTTGTGTATAGAGCACTGGGGTTTAGGTGAAAAACCTGAGCCCCATCCAGGAAATGTGCATTTGAAAAGATATGCAGCCCTATACAGAAATACTGAGAGATTTGCATTTGAAGGTAGATAGGCTCTTCTAGGGGAACGAAAAAAAAAATCCTTCATTGAGCAGAAAACATCAATGCCATCAGCCTGGTATGCTTATGACCACCTGTGTCAGTTGCTTGAGTGGAAGCAGAAGAGGTACAACAATGAAGAGACGGACTGAGTTTAGCTATGTTCCATTTTCACACACTGACTTAGCCCTTGCAGCCTAGGAATGGAGTCAGAAAAAGCTGGTCAGTCTGAAGTGCAGGGAATTGTGTGGACTCCTGAGCCTGTGAATGGTACCCATAGTGGTTAGAGATGAGAGAAAATCAGCTGTCTGGTCTGAAATGCAGGTGGGTGGACTCCTTAGCCTCTACAGCTAGTACCCATTGACCCAGGCCAGAGGGGGTAGGGATAAGCTGATTAGAACCTGACTAAATGAAGAGAAAAGTATTTGAGACTATGAGCTTGTGTGAATTACTGCAATTTGATGACTTGCTCTGGACCAGGCTTTGCTTTGGATGCAGATAGGTAAAATTCCAACTGGAACAAAAAGTCTGCAGATCAAGGCACATAGATACTTGTCTTTTCAGAGTACTCATTGGATGTTGTTGTTATTCGGTGCCACTGCATCAAGGGTGACTCATAGCAACTCTATGAACAGCTGAGCTAAAACTTGCCCTATTCTCATCTCTGAGACACTAGAGCCTGTTGCTGAAGTTACAGTGCCAATCCATCCTGTCAGGGCTCTTTTCTTCACTGACCCTCCATCTTTCCATGCATGATGT